ACACACACACACACACACACACACCCACACCCCGTCGGTCCTCTCGAACCTAACGAGACCAAGTTCGCCATCATGTCGACCTGGACCGACAACTTGACCATGGAAACCATGGCCAAGGAGAGAGCCAACCCGCCCTTCGACGTGCGCAAGGTAAGTCGTAATCCACTTTGCCCGACTGCCCCGAGCTTTCTGACTAACCCTCTTTCGTTCCCCTTGACATAGATGTCCATCGAACACCACGGCAGCGAGAGCGACCTCGTCAAAAAGGAAAAGTTCATGCTCGAGGCGAGCCGCGACCCCGTCTTCTACTCGGCAGACATCTACGACCTCACAAAGGACCAGATCCGCGAGCGCACCATGCAGCGCATCCAGCGCCTCGCTCACTACGTCACCAGCGAGTCGGTCGACGACTTCCAGAAGCGCATGGAGCTCATGTCGCTCCTCGACCCGGGCCTCTGGACGCGTCTCGGCGTGCACTACGGCCTCTTCCTCGGCGCCATCCGCTCCGGCGCCACCCCCAACCAGTTCTCCTACTGGATGGAGAAGGGCGTCATCGCCTGCCAGGGCATGTTTGGCTGCTTCGGCATGACCGAGCTCGCCCACGGCTCCAACGTCGCCGGCCTCGAGACCACCGCCCACTTTGACGCACAGACCGACGAGTTCGTCATCCACACGCCCAACCTCGGCGCCACAAAGTGGTGGATCGGCGGCGCCGCCCAAACCGCCACCCACTGCTCCGTCTTTGCCCAGCTCATCGTCAAGGGCAAGCGCTACGGTACCAAGACCTTCATCGTGCCCCTCCGCGACCCCAAGTCCTTCCAACTCCTCCCCGGCATCAACATCGGCGACATTGGCAAAAAGATGGGCAGAGACGGCATCGACAATGGCTACATCCAGTTCACCAACGTCCGCATCCCGCGCGCCTACATGCTCATGAAGCACACCCAGGTCACGCGCGACGGCGAGGTGCGCGAGCCCCCGCTCCAGCAGCTCACCTACGGCGCCCTCCTCCAGGGCCGAACCGCCATGGTGGCCGACGCTGCCAACACGGCCAAGAAGGCGCTCACCATCTCGGTGCGCTACGCCGCCGCACGTCGCCAGTTCAAGTCGGACGCCAAGGCCCAGTACGAGACCCAGATCCTCGACTACCCCATCCACCAGCGTCGCCTCATGCCCCTCGTCGCACAGGCCGTCGCCTTTGGCTACACCGCCCTCGAGCTCCAGCGTCTCTTCGAGGAGACCTCGCAGGCCCTCGAGGCGCTCGAGCCCGGTGACCCCAACCTCGAGGCCACCATCGAGAAGCTCAAGGAGACCCACTCCACAAGCGCTGGCCTCAAGGCCTTCTGCACCTGGGCCACCCTCGAGACCATCGACCGCTCCCGACAGGCTTGTGGTGGCCACGGTTACTCCTCCTACAACGGTTTCGCCAACATGCATGCCGACTTTGCAGTGCACTGCACCTGGGAAGGAGACAACACCATCCTGGCGCTGCAGGCGGGCCGATTCCTCATCTCGGCGTACCAGGATGCGCTGGATGGCAAGGAGCAGGTGAGCGCGGGTACCAAGTACCTCAACAATATCGAGCAGGTGCTGGCCGCCAAGTGCGAGTCCGACGAGGCGCTCGACACGCTCGACGGCATCGACCGCGGTTGGGCGACGGTGGCGGCGCACGCGGTCAAGAAGGCATCGGAGGACTACCAGGCGTGCCTCAAGGC